GGAAAATTCTACTACCAGTCCTTCATCACCTTACACGAAATAGGGTGAATACATCTCATTACAAATTAATGCAACACTGGAAGTCATTTTGTAAGGCAACCAACTAACCTTTTCTTGCAATTCTTTAATAGTTTTGAACTGGATATATCCTATCGTTATAACTCGTGTTAATTATACCCTGATTGGCAGGACGTTTTAGCCTCAACTTATGCCAATCACGGTTTCCCGTATTTTGATTGGTCATTCCCAGCTAATGTTTAAATGAAGGGTTCTATGATCTAAACTCTACTCAAATACGAAAATAACATACTAGCGAGTTGAAGGCTATTCTGTTCTTTGTGCAAATATTTCATTTGTGTCTTGTTTCAAAAAGATCTGGCAAGTTTGGCACCCATTGCTTAATCACTTGGTACTCAGTTGGGGGTACTGAAATGATCAAGGAGATTGGAAGTTGATCCTGACACTGGTTGGAGGGGTTGGGGATGTCTGCGCCACTCTTCCTATGGCGTCGACGACTGGCAATCCCCTGTCGAAAATCTTCCACCTGGGTCAGGATGGTCAGCTTAATCATAATCTTGCTCTTCCTGGTCACCTTTTTTGATCTATGCATGGTGAAAATGTGTTCCAGAGAGTCTACTTTAAATGCTCCTTACAAATTAAGGGATCAAGCCCAGCGGCGACGTCTTCCCTTCATCTCAATGAAGACGAAAAATTCAGTCAACTCTTCAATTCTATCCTCGTTTTGCTTTCTCTTTGGAAAGTTGGAACAGCTCGAGATGCGTGAAAACGTGAGAACTCAGGAAAAGGTATTGAATACCACTCCATCCACTTTCATCAAAGATGGAGTCGAGATCATGCAAGACCCTAACTCTAGACCCAGAAAATTTGGAGCTCTTGACGACCGACTTTTTTATGGGCAAGGCCACTTCAAGTTGCCCTCGAAAGTTGGCCTTGATCGACGGGACTTTCCATTATTTCCCTTCGAGATTCCCTCAGGCCAGCCAATGCATGACCGGATATGGAACCAAATGCGCTATGTGCCGCATCAAGTTGTAAGGGTGAGTATGGTGATACACTTTATTGATATATAGTGGCTTCATAGTTTTCACTTCATCCAGTACCATCTGTTGCCAAAATTAATTTAGATACGATGAGAAACTGGGTTTAGATGAATCTTTTGATATAACATTGTTAGAGGGACTTTTATTTCGTATGAAAGTGAATGAAGAAGAGATTCGTTGTTCGATCTCACCAGTCGTTTGGCTTTTATATGATATTCATGTTGACGCAGTCCACGAGACTTCCTCTCTCGTTTCGGGTGCAAACGTGCTGAGCTTTCGTCCATCAAATGAAGGACATCATCAGAGCTGGGTGTCATTCTTGCAAAGGTCTTACGTTAAAATTAGGGCAAGAAGAATATCCGGCTCTATCTTACCTCTTTTCAAGACTCAATTAAGCCAAAAGAAGATTAAAAATCTAGATAGATATAGAGTGGTTTGGTTAATTATCTTTCATACTATTCCTGTTACTTTTGCTCGAGTGTATGCGTATGTGTATGTGTGCGTGTTAGCATCTATATGCAATACCGGTCCTAAATCAGAGTTGTCAAGGGTTTAATCTCAAGTTCTAATAATCAATGCCTAATGACCCAAGAGAAAGCCTTGACCAAGACTGCGTAAGTTCGTA